ACATCTCTTGTGCAATAAGAATATGGTCCGAAATGGACCTTCCTCTGATAAATGCAGCCTGCTCATCCGAGATAAGCATAGGGATGACCGTATAAGCCTATTCAAGATTACTTTTGCAGCAACTTTATAAACTGAGTTGCAAAGGCTTATAGGCCTGTAATTGGATGGCAACAAAGGATTAGAAACCTTTGGAATGAGAACCACAAGAGTGTCTTTCTAATTACAATCCATGCTCCCTTGATTGAATAAATGATTTAAAGCCTTCACAAAGTCTTCCTTGATAATCTTCCAATAGAATTTGATGAATGAGAATGTAACTCCATCACTACCCGAAGCTATATTTTTGCCCAGAATTTGTATAACCAAATCAATTTCCTCAACTGTGAATTCTTTGGATAAAGAATTTATTTCCTCCTGTTTCAGAATATTCTTCTGTTTAGGCCATTCTTCCAAGCAACAATTCCTCTATTTCCACTTTGAGTTGAAAAACTGCATGAAGATATCTTCAATGATGCTTTGATCCTCAATAACCAGCCCATCTTCACTTTTTATTTTCAAGATTCGGTTGCCAATTCTCCTAGCATTAGCAAATAGATGATAGTAATTTGAATTACAATCTCCCTCCTCCATCCATTTTACTTTAGCTCTTTGTTTCCACCAACTACACAACCGAGCCATAGTAGTGTTAAGTTCAATAACCTTTGATTTCATAAACCAACATTCTTCCTCAGAGAGACAACCATTTTCAGCTTCTGCAGTTTGTAACTTAATGATTTCCTCCATTAAGCTATTTTTATGATCATTGAGGTTCTTCAATTTAGCCTTACTCCAAAAGAACAGTGACTTCAAAGTTCTTTTACATTTTGCATTCAATATTTGGGAATAATCACCTTTGCAATTTTTGCTCCATTCCCTCTTCACCACAGCAAAAGAAGCCGGGTAGGATGCCCAAACATCCTAAAAAATAATACTCCTCTTCTTAAAAGAACATGAATTACAGAAATTGAGAACCAAAGGGCTATGATCTGATGCAATTCTAGCGAGATGTCTAACAGTTAATTGAGAGAAATGATTCAAAGCAAAAGAATTAAGGAAGCACCTGTCGAGCCTTTCTAAAATCCTTGCACCTCCAGATTTATTGTTACACCATGTAAACCTTGGGCCATTTAATAAATCGAACTAGAGATACTATTTCCTATACGAATAAAATAAAGAGAAAAAACAACAGTAACTACCAAATTCGACTTTCCTGGCCCAAATGTGTCCAAATCAAAGACTCGAGCACATTTTTAAGGTTCAGCCATAATTTGGATTACCAAAAGACTAAGCACATAATTAAATAAAATTAATCAATCTTCTGAACGGTTTTTAAAGAAAGCTTTTGAAGAAGTTAGGCATTTTCAACGGTATTTTTCAAAAATTCGTTTTCCGCGTTCCTACGGGAACGAATGGAGGCGTGGTTCGCGCTTCGTCGAGTCGAGGAACTGCAGATCGACGTCACTTGCACAGTCGTATCGGCTGAGCTTTCACGTCATTCGCGTTTGGATGAAGGAATAAATTTGAATAACCAAAAGCAAAGGTAGAGGTACAAGCTTGGTCTTAATGGAAGGAGGTACTGGAGAAAGAAGGAACCGGTAATATTGGGTAAAGGAAAGAATGTGATTTTATTTCAAAACGAGTCAAAAGAAGGTAATCTCCCATTTATTTTATGTTTGAACGGTATGGAGACTTCCTCCTTCCAAACTCTACTCACCTATGAGAAGATATTCCTGATAATGGAAATTCAGGTCCCGGAACTGACAGAGGAAAGGCGTTCTATGGGCAGTGATTTGTATGCCTGAAGTGAATGAAACAGCAACTAGAGATCGGGAGTGGATATGTACTGGGTCTTGGCTCCAGATGACTGGAAACAAAGGTCTGTACTGACGATATACTGAAAGTTAGAAGGTGAATTCAAGTCGGATTAGAGGAAAGATATTCAAGACGTTCATACGTTCATGTGAACGAAATACTGATTGCGCGGACAAACAATGCTTGGAAGAGAAGAAGAAATATATCCAGTTGAAGGTCTTCAACTCGACGATTATGTTCTAAGATGGATGACTGAATTGGATTGCAGTAGCATGAGGAGGATAAATACCAAAGGAAGTACTCTCGGTTTTAATCTTTGGTGGAGGCTCCTATTCTGATCTATTAGTAATGAACTCGAGGGAGATGAAATCAATATGGAATTTCACTTACCCATGCTCAGTGGCGCAGGGGCTGTTTTGTGTTCATTCCAGAAAGCCAGCTGGATTTGTTCCGCAATGGCCTGGTTGTGAATGAGAAAATTGTTGATTGACACAGTGGACTCAAACTTTGATCCAAATTCTCTTAAAGGCTGTCATCACCATATTGGATTAGGCTCTAGACCTTCCCATCTTGCAGTTGGGCAAACTTGAATATATTAGCAGATGCCTCTCATGTGTTGAGAAAAACATTCTCAGTTGATGGAAACATGTCCAATGGGGATCGCAAGAGATTCGGAAGGGTGTGTGTTCCAAAAATTAAGGCCCTTGATAAATGACGCTCATGTAGGAGTAGGCGTGGAGGAGCTCTAATGGGAAATTCTCATCAAAAGATAGAGAATGAACGTATCTTCCAAATTTTGTTTAGTTGTGGATTCATGGGCACCACGAAGGAACACTTGGCGGTGAAGGAGATGGCAAATGCAAAATTCAGTTATATAGGAAAGATATGCTAGTACTGTTCCAGATAAAGCCAGGGGAAGAAGCTAAAGTTGCAGATGCGGGAGGAACAAAACAACCTCAGATAGCTTTGGGCCACGAGGATGATATCAACCCGATGAGAAGAGGTGAACCGAATCAATCTAGAAGGTGCTACTCGCATCTCTTCCAGTGAAGAAGACTATATGAGGAAAACAACAGATAATAAGAAGGAAAAGTCAAGGGAAATACTAGCAAGAATTCAATATTTGAACTCTGATAAGCTTCAAAAGGAAGACGAGCCAGTTGATTCCTAAAGACGGTGTATCGATGTCAACCAATGAAGCTGCAGCAGAGGAAAATCGTTGTAAAAAGGGACAACTGATTCTGAGATACTTC